ATTTGTATCCGTCGTTTAATTGGACATTAAGAAGCACCACGGTGAATGTTAGCTCAATTTATAAGTGTGCAATTATAAAATGCTGACAATTGACTTCGGTTAAACTTTACACACTAGTTTCTGGCTTTAATTAAAAGTTTGGACAATCAATCATGAAGAATTGATTTTGTAGAAAAATGTAATCCTAAACAATGGTAAGAAGAATTCATAGTTCCAATTTAAACAAGTTTTTGTTTCGGATTATTCATGTGAAAGTGCGTATGAAACTTGTTTCCTTCTGAATGTTATGTAGTTTCTTAGAGAAACCTTGCTGGTTTAAGATGAAAACGTGTTAGCCCATTTAGGGTTATCTGTTTTGAATCATTATATTTCAAAAATAAGCACCTACTTGGATCTTTAATACCAATATTAATGGACCGTTTATTTTGAAAGTGGTGCAAGTCCATTTTCCAATTCCATTTCATTTTATTTTAGTTTACACTAAATTAAGCATAAATTACGTCATATCTCATTTTTTTTAAAAAAGAACTTACACCACTTTCAAAATAAACGGTCCATTTAATGGTTTAATAAATTCGTATACTTTTACTTTTTTCAATGTAACATAGAATATGTTCTGAGTCACGGTCATTACATAACACAATCACATTATAAAAAATAAAGGAGTATCTGTAAATTGAATTTAATGAAGGTCTTTTATTAATGCTGAGTCAATAGTATATAGTTTGTCGAGCTACTATAACAATGCCAAATAAAATATAATTAATTCCTGGTTTATGAATGCACACGCCGACGAAAAGTAAATCTCATTCAACAAAATTTGTAGCATAAAAACTTTCAATTAAACATTAAAAACGTTTTATATACACGCGGAAACAGGAACCCCATAATACTGGGTTAATTCAGAAATAAGTTGCATCGCTGATAATAAGAGTTGAATGGATCATACTTGATGAATAGTAATTATTACACTTAATAATAGTAACGAATGATATTAGTTACGAATTTTTTTAACGAGTAATAAGAATGAAAAGAGAATTGAATATTAACTTCCAATTGTTTTCTTTTATATTATAATACTATAATTGGAAAAAATTTTAAACGAAGAGTATACATAATGCAGTACTTATCGGAAAAATACAAACAACTCTATTGAGTTCTCAAATTTACGTTTCTGGTTGTATTATCGCACGCATTTTTTATTTTAAACTTACTAAAATTGTTGGAATTATTCGCAAAAATACAGTTAACGACGCGAAAAGTAGATCACATTTTCAAACACAGCATTTCCAGAATCAGTATTGAGACCAAAATCGCTATTATAAGTACAGACCCCTCTCGATTGTCGTCCCGAAATCGGGTCCGCGCTGGGACAATAATCTTAAAGGGAGAAATGCTTCAGACCCTCGTAAATTCATTTTTTGCCTGAAACCCGAGTCTCGGCAACAGAAGCGATAATATTTGAGCTAGTAACATAATAAAATGTAATGTTTTAGATAATATAAAGATCATAGAAAATAGTGTCGATCATAATTCAACGATTCGTTAAGTTTTTTAGTTTAATATTTGGGTGACGCTTAATATTATGCTATTAATCTCACCAATACGGTCTGGGTTAGGTGACAGTATTTGGTTAGGTAACAATAATTGGGATGTCAGTAATTTGATCAAAGACGTTTTATGGGTGACAGTAATACCTTTCCAGGTGTATTTTTGAAATTAATGAATTTATAAACAAAAGCAGAGGTTCAGAAAGTCACAAAAAATTTTTCCTTCAATTAAACATATTAAATAATAATAAATACAAATAATAACTTATGTTTTTGGTCAGTTAATAAAAAATTATGCAGTAATGTCAGTGTCATTTCTTAAAGTGTCAGTAATCGGGCCTTTTATCCTATTATATTTACAAGAACGATTTCATCGTTTCAAATACTTAAAAAAATAGTTCCACGATGAACATGCTTTTTTCATCAACAAAAGTGATCGTATCTGCGTTTCATCGGTGCATCTTGCGTAGCGCTATAAAATAAAAAGCATAATATCTTCCCTAAAAAAATGTATCAATATTTAAATGCATCCCAGAGAAAAAAATAGTGTCCACTACGGAGTTCCCCGAATTCACACTTTCTTATTTCGCGAGACAGCCTCGAGCGGAAAGAAAATCGAAAGCGGAACGCATCGAGCCGTGTCACTCGCCGACCGAGCAAAGGGACGCACACAGTTCCGTGGATCCGGAAGTTGCGCGGCGTAGGTGGAACCAAGGAGTGGGGCTCCCACTGTATAATAATTAATAACCGGCCTCTGAGTGGTTCGCGCAGACCCCGCCCTTTACCCCCTGATTTATGAACTGCACCGCCTTCCCTGTCATAACCGAGTGTAGAAGCTTGCTTGCGGTGGGGAGGGCCGATGGCGGGGATCGAGATCGGTGGTGGGAGAAGGGTGATGCGTGACGCGCGACGGTACCTACGCCCAGGCTGAATCTGTACTAAGCGATCAGTCGGTTCTCGTCCTTGCCGGATGACACCGGTCGGCGCGTGGGACATCCGACCGAAACGTAGCGTAGCTTTGACGTACCACCGCAAGTCGGCGCCACGAATTGGGTCCTCCGCGGACCTGAGGAGACATGCAGCTCATGAGATGGAGCATCACGCGACGTCTCGAATGCCGTGCACTTAAGCAAGGCATCTGCAGACCCTCCAGACTCTCGTGTCCCCGATCTTCTGGTACGGTTTAACCTTGAACCACGCCACGCGTAACAGTTTCGTGTATTCTGTGAATTCATCCGTTGATATTGTTCTCTTCTGCGTCTTCTTGTCAGTGATGAAGATTTGTATCTAGTTGCGTTCTCCAGTGTGGATCAGTGCGACGTCACTCTGTCGAAACACGAACCGATGCGTTTCAAGCGGATCTGGACAGTCCCGCCGGGAATAATAATTGCACGATCCTCGTTTTCCATTGACCACCGTGCACTTATTCAACGTTTTCAGTGGTACCTGTCACATGCGTTCGCGACACGGAATACTAATTATCGTGTGTCACTGTTGTTTTAGTATTGGCACGATTTGAACCCGGTTCTTTCTAAGAGTTTTGCTATTATGTAGTTCAGTGGCGGTTTGATTCCGTATTAGCAAAGATTAGATGAAAACTTGACCAACGGACGGAACGCAGGTCGGATTGGTTATAGTATAATCAACACTATAGACCTAACTTCTGCGACACAATTTATCAAAACAGAGCACACGTATTTTGATTATTGGCCGAAACGGTACATCCACGGTCGGATATTATACAACACGGCGTGACGATGAGAGCGAACGGGACACATCGCGACTAAGTGGGATAGTGCAACTTCAAGGGAATGCTGCGACGTATCAGCGTGCTAACCACTGGCCTGCGGAAGCATCACAAGCAGACTTCCGCAGAGCGAACAAAGTAGCCTGCTTGTGTTCCCCCGTTGACCTTTTTTCCATCTCTGCATAGTACTTAACCCTTTCACTATTACCTTATTCGTTATGTAATACCAAATCGTCAACGATCAGCGATTCCATGTGTGTTTTGTGTTAACACTGCAGAATTTTTATCAAGCTGGAACCTTGACGATAGGTTCAATTGTGACGTGAAACCTGATGAGTTTTTGGCTTATTCTTCGTTTCACGTCAAGCCGTTGTTTAGCTAACTTTATATTCGATAGTTAATCTTTGAAACTCTCGCTCGCAAACTCCTTGAATTGTTAATGTCTTCGTTGAGGATCTTCTGGCGAGTACCTTTCATCTTCGTAGGAATTTCTTGTTTCGTTTTGGAAAAAACATCTCCCTCTTCACCGGAAGTGTCGCTTTGATATATATTGTGTAATCCGTCTGACAATTTTTAAATAATCTGCATAATAATCCGTCAAATGAAATCCTGAACTTATTAACCGTGATAGAACCGAAGCTAATGTAACGGAATTTGTAGATTACACATTTTATGTATAAAACGATTACCATGTACAAGTTTAACTGAGCATTGAACATTTCATCTTGGAGATAATTATCATACGACTTTTTGTACTTTTGATGAATGTATATCCTCATAAAGTCTAGAACTTCTTATAGAATTTCTCTGCAATTTAGATACTTCCTTTAATTACTTTCCTATACCATACTCATTTATTTTTCTTTTTTAACGAAATTGTGAGCTTACATTTAGTTTGAAATGAACTCTGTACATACTGACAGTATTTGGTGCACTTTAGACCTATTTGACAAATTTTGTTGAAAGAAGGAAAAAACCAGAAAGACCGCTTAGTTTAATATTACTAGTGATTGTGTCTGTATTACTAGATTGCATGCCAAACATGTACGGATTTCTTTCTAAAAAGTGGTGGAATACATCTATACAACTGAACTCTATGCTGATTTATTCCACGTTTCGTCACGCTCGAAGAATAAAATCTTTCGTTTGTATAACTACGTATATCGTTTTAATACTTCAATAGAAAGAAGAAAAACAAGCTTTTTATATAGTGATATTCTGGAAGAATATTTACCAAGAGAATGTGAAATTATATTTTTCTTTTGACTGTACTGGTGGTGACATTTCCTAAAAAATATATTTCTTTTAATATTCACAAATTGTATCGATTATTTGACCGGCAGATCTAGAATTCACCATGACCTTCTTCGTGCGCATAAGGGTGGGTTTTCATTTTTGGATCATATAAAATGCACGGAAAAAAAGCGTTGTTAATAATTAAAAACTGCCGTTTAATGCTACTTGTGAAATCGGTTATTTTAATGAAAAATTTCAATCGTTTAGCCCAATTCCTAAATTATCGTTTCACAAAAGTCAAAACAAATGTAATTAAATAAAATTACAATTCCGTTGTTTTCGTAGGATTAAGATAATCAAAAGTATATTTACATTTGTTTGAATTTACGCGTTATTAAAAATAAGTAACCTAACAGATAAGGAAATTTGAACACCTTTTTAATATTAATAACAATGATTTGTTACAGGAGAGGAAAATGACTTTACATCGGACGGTGAAGAAAGTGGCGGCGCAGGAGGCGCCGGTGACGAAGCTGTGGATCTCACCGCAGTCAGGTCTCATCAGGGCGATGAAGACGAGAAGGATCAGGATGATCCTTTGGAGGAGGACGAAGAGGAAGGTGTGGACGAGCAAGACGAGCAGGAGGATGACGAAGAAGGTTCGCGTAAACAAATGCGTCACCGTCAAGACGCGGAGAACAACAATAATTTCGTGGAAAGCAGCACAGCTGCTGGACTTTTCCCGCCCGCTGGAACTAGTCATGTCACTTTGGAAGCTCTTCAAAACACAAAAGTGGCAGTCGCTCAATTTGCAGCGACAGCCCTTGCCGGTGGCGCTGATAGTGAGGCAGCTTTGCAAGATTTGGCGTTATTGCAAAGCACCTTGTACACCCTTCAACATCAGCAAGTGTTCCAGTTACAGTTGATCAGCCAACTTCAACAACAACTGTCCATTACGCACAACCAAACAGTGCAACAACAAACCACGGGTGAGCCGTCGGATAACAAAGAAGTTTCTTCGTCTCCTATTATCCAACCCAAACCTCTATCAAGCTTAACATCGCCTCCGTCGTCACGTCCACCGAGCCATCAGCAAGCCTCGCCAGCTCCCATGACGCCGATTCTATCCCAGGAACGGCCGACTCCAACCAGCAGCGCATCTCCTTTGAATCTTCCATTACCGTCGTCGAACGCCACGGGTACAACTGCTACTACCAGCAGTAGCCAGGTGCCCATGTCTCATCAAATGCCACCGCTCTGCTCTATCAGTTCTTCGCTTGCTTCGTCGATAATAACTAATACCGATCCGCCGCCGTTACACGAGCCGAATACTTTGGAGATGCTGCAGAAGAGAGCTCAAGAGGTACTCGACAACGCCAGTCAAGGTTTGCTGGCGAACAATCTGGCCGACGAACTTGCGTTTAGAGGTGGAAAAGGTTCCCGTCCTTCCCCGTACGATTCAAAGTCTGGTAGCGGTCGCGGGGAGCCGTTCTTCAAGCATCGATGCCGTTACTGCGGCAAGGTGTTCGGCAGCGATTCAGCACTTCAGATCCACATACGATCGCACACAGGTGAGCGACCCTTTAAATGCAACGTCTGCGGCAGCCGCTTCACCACGAAAGGGAACTTGAAGGTCCACTTCCAGAGGCATACGGCCAAGTTTCCACATGTTAAGATGAACCCGAATCCCGTTCCGGAACACCTGGACAAATACCACCCACCCCTGCTACAGCAGATTGCCTCTGGTCAGAGACCAATGCCGTCCCCACCGCCGCCACCACCTTCTCATCACCCCTCTTTTCATCCGGCGGCGGCACACGGTTTTTTACCTCCTCAGCCACCCCTGCCACTCGGTTTAGCCCTGCCCGGTATGCCACCCTTGTACAGATCGCCGGTTGTCGCTCATCGAGACGATCAAGACGTGCCGGAAAACTTGAGTAAGCCCATAACCACTGCCCCTACCACGTCTCCACATTCCCCCGCGATTGTGTCGAACTCTCGTCATTCCTTTCACGACAATCACCAACAACAAAAACAACAGCTCGAGCAGAGGGATGAGATCAAACTCGAGCAGCGGTCACCTATGCAGGAGCAGTATCAGCAACGGCCCACCAGCCAGGAAGCCGCTGAGAGGATAACTCCGAAGAAGGAACCAGAGGAGACTGAGGAGCCTACGGAAGAAGAGAGCGAGGATTTCGAAGAAACGTCCAGACGGTATTTGAACTCGCCTCAGTCCTCCGTCAATCCATTGTCTCATCCACAAACGTACGAAGACTGCAGTATGGACAGTAAAATTAGCGGGCGATTAGAAGCAGACGGTGACATGGAAGTCGACGAGGAGATCGAAGAACAGCCTGAAAATCTATCCGGTCGAGGAGTCATAAACCGTTTACCTCAGCAGATCGTTGCTTATCCTGGAGCATCTCCCGCCAGTAGTAGCGCGAGCAGCGGAAGTCTTCAAACGTCGTTCGCGGGTATTCTTTTCCCGGGACCACCCGCGCATCATCAAATACCTCACCATGCCGCGCCAACAGTTGTAAACACGCCTGCGGTTTCGACCAGTGAGATGATCGATCCAGCCAAGGATCCAGCTATCTATTCAAGCCTGTTGCCTCGACCAGGCAGCAACGACAACTCTTGGGAAAGTTTAATCGAGATAACGAAAACCTCGGAAACATCGAAGTTGCAACAATTGGTCGACAACATCGAACACAAGCTTACCGATCCTAACCAGTGCGTTATCTGCCACAGAGTGCTGTCCTGCAAAAGTGCATTGCAGATGCATTACAGGACCCACACCGGCGAACGTCCGTTTAAATGTAAGATTTGCGGCCGTGCGTTTACTACTAAAGGCAATCTGAAAACGCACATGGGTGTGCACAGAGCGAAGCCGCCTCTGCGAGTGCTTCATCAATGCCCCGTCTGTCACAAGAAGTTTACAAACGCACTGGTTCTACAACAACACATACGTTTGCACACAGGCGAGCCAACGGAACTCAGTCCGGAACAGATACAAGCCGGTGAGGTGAACGAGTTTCCACCGGGTTATCCTCCGCATCCATTGGCATCGTTCCTCCCACAAGGCTTTCCACCGATTCATCCCGCAGGAGCGGGATTTCCACTGGGCTTTCCGCCGAAATTGGAGCTCAAAGAAGAAGTTCAACAACACCAACACCAACAACAACACCAGCAACATCAGAGGTACACCGAGGAGCATAGCGAGGAGGCGGAGGACCAGGAGGACGATGAAGAAGATCGGAGGGAAGACGACGAACGGTGTCATGTAAATCGTGATATTCGCGGTGATGTAGAGGACGAGCAAGACCGCGAAAGCGAAGAGAACGAACACAAAGAAATGTCTTTGCCGAATTTTTCTACTTCCCTTGCCGCTCTCGAGAACCAAGTGCGAACTATTACCACGATAGCTACTTCGACCGTCGGAAATACAGCCAGGTCACCACCTTTTCATCGATACAATGGTAGCGAGAAAAGTAACAGTCCGCTGAACCCTGGTGCACCCTTAGACTTGACGCCTCGCGCATCGTCGACACCAGCTACAGTGGCATCAGTGCCTACACCACCGCCGCAGACCGCGACACACCATCCGCACCCCTTCGGCATGTTCGCAGGCCTCTTGCAAGCAGTCTCCTCGTCGCCATCCACGAGCAGCATAGGATCCTCGAGCGTAAATAGTGTCAGTTCAATGAACGCCATCACTCCGGGATCAGGCGCTGCTGGACCTCTGGCATCGCTTACCACGTCAGCCGTACTGGCTGCCACATCCACCTACAACCCGCTCGGTCTAGCTGTCGGAGGGCCAGCAGGTAGGCGCTGCTAGCATCAGGGCGAGCTGCAGTTCCTGCTACACCTCCCGATCGATCTGACACGATTCACTGATCCTGACCGAAAGACTGACTGATTCGTCCACCTTATCCAAGCTGTACTATCGACATCCTGTTTGTGGTGTAGCCGGACCTAGCACTCCTACCCTTCCGCTTAATTCTGTTATCGTCTCTTTGTATACCTTCTCAGGGTTTCTCTGTCTATGCCTCTGTCACTCTTTCTTTCTTTATTTCTATGTTCGAGTCGCTTTGTGTTCTTCTTCAGAAACATGGACGAAAATCCAGCGTTCACGGCCACAGATCAGTTTTGTATCGATCCTTTATTCGCACGAAAAGAAAGTCAGAACTGTGGATACATGATGAATAAATAAATCTTTTCACAAAACTGATTAATGCATTCACGATTCATTTCACTCCTTCCGTCGGTATGTCGAGAACCGATTACACGACTATACTTTTTCAAAAATATACTCTTTCACGGAGTAACGGTCGATTCATATCTTGGAACTTCGTGTTAGAAACGTCTCTGTTACTTTCGAGCATATATTGCGACAAAATTAGTCCATTCCCACGCGGTCACGAAACATCGCATTCACGATTGTATCGCGGTTACAAATTGCTTTCACAAACATAGAACGTCGCCAAAGTGTCGAGAAGCAATTGTAAAGAGCTACGATCTGTTACAGTGCGTGGAAACACCACATGTAATATCTGCTACAAGACATTTGCGTGCAACTCCGCGCTGGAGATCCATTACCGGAGTCACACGAAGGAGCGACCTTTCAAATGCACCATATGCGACCGAGGCTTTTCCACGAAGGTAATAAAACTTTCTTAGATTGATTTAATTCGGTAGATTAAACTGCAAACGCTCATTTTCTGAAGTTTTTATTATACTGGAAAAAGAGCTCTGATTTTATAGATATTACTTTCGTATTTATTTATAGCTTGCTTATTTTTTATCAAATTCGCGAGATTTACAACAATAGAAACGTCAATAAATTAAAGAAATCACAATTTCGAACGTAATAATTGCCCGAATACACGTTAAATAATTCGTTATTAGAGATTAAACGATTTATAACCTTTGTTTCGCTATGTAACACAAATTTATAATGTAGCAATGAAAAATTCGTAGAAGAATACACACTTCAGGAACAGTTTGAATTGATAATTTGAATAAGTAACAAAATCTAAAATGGTCAATTCATTCATGAGACATGTTTAGATCATTTTATAATAAAGGTCAACAAACCGTTTTTCCTTCGTCGTAATACAAAATTGATGACCATGCCCTGAGCCTAATCTGCATTGGGTTTGGTCATCTCTGTATCTTTGTTTTTTTTCTACGATACTTTCAGAACGACGGTTCCGGTCAGCAAACATGCAACTGTACATCTCAACCATTGCCCGATAATAGTTCGATCACTTCACCCGATTCCCAATATCAAACATCGTGCGCCAGTAATCGAGAGAAACCAAAACGGAGGCGGCGGCGGCCTGAGGAACGGAAGAACCGGGGGCGGAGAGGAGCCGGAGGGGGGCGGGGGCTGACACCTGTCTATCCTGCCATCCGCCTACCCCCGCTGATGTCACCCGCCCTCGGACTTCTACCCTCGGCGCACAGCCTCCTGGTAAGAGCCTGGTCAATATAGAGAACGAAACAAAAGCAATGATAACACCACTGTGTATTGACGAAACGATTCTACATTCTTTTTCACAATCAAGGCCAGTTTCCAAGAATTCAAACATTTCGAGAATTTCAATTTTTCACGCAATATTCGACTGCCTCGGAAGGACAAAAACACACTGAATCTTCTAACGAAACATGTACAAAATTTATGCTCGATGGATTTTAGTTTATTCAATTATTCGTGTGGACATTTTTTCGAACGAGTATCGAAAGGATATAAAATTCAAACTTAACGTGTTGCTTCAAGGCTCAGTCTTCTATCATGTGTTTCTCTCGAAGTTTCTTTATTATTTTCATAATTCACTGTCCTATTCAAGTATTTTGTCCCCCTCCTTTCCATAACTTTGATATGTTATCCGCAAGTGTAATTGTCCGTTACGTTTCTTTGTATAATTTACCGAAAAATACTGTCGTATTTCTCTTGATGGTAATCAACGGTTCTGAAACGTCAGAAATTATGCAGAGTGGTGTGATCGAGAGAGTCGTGTAATCGACAGAGTGGTTGAAGTGGAGGTGTCGTAGGTTCAAAGTGTTTAACGATAAATCGTATTCTGATTCGCAGGGGAACATGAAACAGCACATGCTAACACACAAAATCCGCGACATGCCGCCTCATCTGTTCAGCGACTCGAAGCAGCAACTCCAACAGCAGTCACAGGAGCATGAAACCTCGAGGAGTCCTATGTGCGCTGAAGACACGGGCCTGCCACCACCTCCTCCGCCACCGCCGCCTCCTCCACCGATGCCTCCAACATCAATAGAACAAACCATTTCGGTGAAGAGATCTCCGTCTGAAGGAGATCTGCCCGCACCAAAGAGACCAGCCAGTAAGTAGTAAAACTGTTCGTAAAGAGTCCAACTTGCTTCTTCATCGAGCACAATTCGTCCAGTCCAGGGCTTGGCTTGGCAGATTTAACTCTTCCGCTAACAGATCACATTCCATCATCTATCAAACCCCAAGGGTAGTGTAACGGGCTTCGCTTATTCGCACGCTTGTGCTTTCTGTACACCGCTATTCTTTTCACGCATTCCTGGTGGCAGGTTTGGATCTATTTTCGTTCTCCCCTTCGTCTCTGTCTGCTTTCATCGCAGGCCGAGTCACGAAAAGAATCACCTTCGGTGTCGAACCGCGGGAATATCGTTTGAAGAGACAAGCTTGTGCCTCGGGAAAACTTGTGCCAGGGCCTGTTTAGAGAAACTGTGTGTGTGTATTTGCAGGCGTGCCGAGCAAACACTTGTGCCAGATTTGCAATAAGAATTTCTCCTCATCTTCGGCGCTCCAGATCCATATGAGAACTCACACAGGCGACAAACCGTTCCGATGCACCGTCTGCCAGAAGGCATTCACCACCAAGGGCAATCTCAAGGTATACAGACAATTTTTCCCTTTTTTCCACCACTATCTCTATCTCTGTCTTTCTCTTTACCTATATATATATATATCTCTCTCTCTCTTTTTCTTTTCTCTCTCTCTCTCTCTCTCTCTCTCTCTCTCTCTCTCTCTTTCTCTCTCTCTCTCTCTCTCTCTCTCTCTCTCTCTCTCTCTCTGTCTCTCTCCCTTCTTCTTCCCTGTTCTTCTTGTGTCTTCGGATTCTTCGAGTTTTTTTCACTAACATTAGCTAGCTGCTACCGCTTGTACTAACGCTGATGCGTAACGTACAATACCGCAAGCTCGATGAAACATACCCGCACCTGCCATACTTTAACGGCCGTAACAACAACGTCGTGATTTTTTATCGTAGGTACATATGGGCACTCATATGTGGACCAACGGAGCCTCCCGACGAGGCCGTCGAATGTCCCTGGATCTGCCTCCCCTACCCATCACACCCAAGGACTCGGAGTTTCTCCAACGGCGACCGGATCTCTTCTACCCGTATCTACCCGCGCCGTTCCTTAACGGCGTACAACAGAAAGTAAGTTTTGTGCTGTACCATTTTGTTTCATTAAAATCACATTAACGTTGTTGTAACTTTAAACTTTGTATTAAAATGTCAGGAAACAACAAGAGTTTATCTATTATGTCGCTTATTAATGTTCGATAGTGAAGAAAAGTAATGATTTAGGCACATATACAGATACAGTTTTCTCTGTGTCCCCAAGAAATATTCTGTGCTACCTTGTGTTGTTCGATCAAAAGAACCTCGATAGCTTTGTGTTTTGTTTGAAACATACAAATTACTAATAAAACGGTAATGTCTGAAGATGAAAGAGACTCCTGTTTAAATGTTTGGAAAACTGTACATAGATGGTGCTCTTATAGAATTTCTGTCACTCTATCGATATTAGATTATATTTGTGTGAAATAAGCATGATATTGTGTTTATAGAGAGAACTGTAATAAGAGAGAAACAGGAATAACGGAGGCAGAGTAAATCAATCAGTGGTGATATGTTGGCAAATAAAAGATTATTCATTTCCAAATAGTATGTCGGACAGTATTAGCCATTTGAGTGATAATATCAAAGCCACGAAATTTCAGAAGTCCCAAGACGTACTAGAACAGATTCGCTTGAGTAGATACATCCAGCACCGGGATTAAAAAATGATCAGACCTTCCTTAAACACCGTAAAAAGTATCATAATGGAGATCCAATTTTCGTCGTGGATAAGAAATCTTTGCTTCATTTTTATAGGTAATTGCCCGCGAAGAAATCTAACCAGTTGGCGTGCATTACTTACAGTTGAACGAGATCTCGGTGATTCAAAGTAACAACGGGTTACCGGGCCATTCGGTGGCTACCGGAAAGTACGCAGGCTTGTTCGGCTCCGTGTACGCAGCCGGAGCTGGATTTCCCATGGACAAGCAATCCATGGCGCCGAGTAGTAACGGGCCACTGATCGACGGGAAATCTTCGATTCCATCCGGATCCATGCTCTTTCAGACGTCATCACCGTCCCATTCTCCAGGCACACCGTCGTCGAATGGTGGGAATCAAAACTCTGCTAGTGTTCCCGCGTGGACAGGCGATAATCTTCAGCATCACTACGACAGAGAGCCTACAAACGGGTCGGAGAGCAACTCCGCACCACCATCTGCTCGACTTCCACCGCCACCGGCGTCTAGAGGCGAAGGCTTAGCCACGTGAAGTTCAACCGGTACATATCTTTCGTCTTCGAGGCTACACGTGATCGGCAACTGAACTCCGACCTGCTAACTAGCTGCTAAAAAGACATTGTCGCAGAGCCAGCAGTGTTTCGGTGCATCGAAACGACGACATATCCTCGTAACACCCAGAGCCAGCAGATACCATGTTCCTATTGTCACACTAGTCTTAAACGTGTTAAAGAGGACCGATGGGCCCGGCAGCTGGAGTCCCAGCGTCAGTGTGTGGGTTTACGTTCCGATTTCTAGAACCCCCCGTGACGTGGCTTCGCACGAGGGTCTGACGGGCGCGGTGCCTAGACTGAGCCGTTGGGCCGCAAGACACGTGGCACCGCGACGTCCCGGCCCTCCGTACTCTGACCGTCCATGCGCGACAGTGATGGTCAACTCACTTAGGGTTATTTTACAAATATATACAGAGCATGTTATTTAACTTAACCGTTTTGAGTATCGCCGAATGTTGTTAATCGTATGACGGAAACGTTGAAAGAAAGTTTATTTATTTCGATCGCATCGCCTGACGAATTTCAGGCTGATCTCTCAGAAAAGCGATTTGGTTAAGTTTCCGCGACTATAAAACAAACGGATTTACGTTGTACGGTTAACTACAACGGAAGTTTTTATATTGGTGCGACGGGGTATGAGTGCGCAAGTTGTATACACATGCGAATACATGCGTCGCTTTCTTTTTCAAGAAGGTCGTTTTTAGAAAAGAGGCGGGTCCGGCAACGCCCCTCGCTGTGATATGAGAGGAGCAGCCTGCAATCATTTAAACCAATGTACTTATACGTTGTATCATAGTATTATTATTTACACTTGATGTACAGTACTCACTGCAACTTAGCTTGTCGTTCTTTTGTATAGAAGACAGCCGACGTCTACCTGTGTTGCCCCGAACCTCGACGGTTTTAACTTCTCCCCGATCAAGCGCCAGTAAACTACTGCAGAGTTGAAATTCAATTCCACTAGACGATACGTTGTGATTGATAGCATCATTCTACGCTTAAGTAAAGAACAAAGAAACCTTTTTAATCTCGGTTCATATCGCTCGACTCCACCATTAATCAAAATCAGTCGTCTTCTCTCCCTGAGCCTGGCTCGAAAAACTTACGAGCGTAAAAATCGTGGCATCCATAATATTCAGAGGTAACTTGAGTCACGTGATATGCGACAACTGTCTGTTAAGCGTTATATAATAAGAAAACACTATATACAAAATTATTGTAAACGGTAACAACTTCGAAGCGAATGTAACGTAAATGAGTTATATAAACGATGCTATGAATGTCCATGTGAAATACTTCTCAACTTTAGACAGCATTGCTTATAGAAGTATTTATGAATCAAACATATAAATATTTAACTGCTTAACCACAATTGTTTCGTTGAATATTTATTCTTAGGTCAGAGAAAACATAAAACTAGCTTTAATCGCACTGTAATTCAATATTTCAAGGGGAAAGAACACACATGTTAAAATAATATCTACAGAAATTTCTGTTCGCGTATACGTTTGCCAGTAACATCAATTAAATTTCAGTTAGCGCACGATCACACATGTTGTTAGTCGAAAAATTTTCGCATATTATGAATATTTCGCTTCACGTGATCAAATGAACTAACAATAAATAATGGAGGAAACAATTTTTATGCTCGCAGATGATTTGGGCCGACTTTGTCAGATGTTTAGTTAATAAAGAGGTATGAATTTATAAATAGCAATCGATAATTTATTGATTGGTTATATGAAAATGATAACTGAAATCACACATATTTATTCTTTTTGAAAACCCATCGCATTTACAAAAACTAAACGTAACAGAATCGATTGAATGTGCAATTTTTTAACAGAATAATTTGTATGGCGAAACTTTATTCGCGGTCCCAAATTCAGAAATGCACACGTGCAGACACCATGCATCGTGCAAATAATCGCATACGTTCGTTCTTGAAAACTAATACTCCTGTGTAACCGCTTTCCCGTATATTCTTTGCGTTGAACCCCGGAACGCGGATAATAAAAAGAATAAGGGACGCGGTATGCGTGTAAAAATCTGTAAAAAGTAATAATAGCGACATACGCGTGCCCAGTAGGCACTTCGTGTAATTTATCTGATTTTTAATTAGCTTAGAGATAACGTTTTAAGACTTCCGTCGATTCGAAAGTTTGTCGCGCGCGAAATGAAGAAAGTCAAGAAGCAAATTCAAAATCAATTGGCCATTGCGAAAACTTTCAGCGGCTTAGTAATTGAAACTCTAGGCAAAATTCAATGAATTTTCTTCTGCTGGAATTGTGAGACATATCTTCATTAAAAGATATAAGTTTCGAACAATCATTCACAATGAATGTAAATATTGCTGTATGACTGTTGTCAAACTGAATGGAGATACAAAGTACAGTGGACTCTAACTATATTGCCATGGTCGGGGCTGTAGGGGAGTAAAAGGACAATGACGTTAGAGCCCGCTCCATGCTAAGTGGTGGGAGAGCGAGTTTGTGTCATCGACAGTAGGTTTGAAGGGGAAGTGCCTCGCGTGGCAATATAGTTAGAGTCCACTGTAATGGAAAACAATATGTGCTGCAATTAACGTTATGAGAACTGCTTTCATTTAATACAAGAAAAAAAAAACATAAAAACGAATCAATGTTTCTCAGTATATAAATTAAATTCTGAAAAACTCGGTATGCAAACACTTTTCCTTTTAACCGTAGTACATAGGTTAACACGTTCGCGCTCGACTTTAGAACCTGCAAACGGAAATTAAGGTCTGTAATGAGTGTGGAGCGTACAGTGAAAGTCAGAGATCGGCGAAATGTAATTATGATTGGTTACCAATTATCGTGACATCCGTGGGTTCGTCTAATAAGCAAGTAACGATATCTCTTCTCAACGAATCGCCTGTGATCCACGTGACCTCTGCACGCATAGAGAATATTCCAGGCTTTACGGTCCCCGCCCATGATGCAGATCTGCGATATCGGGCACGAACGTGTTAAGTGAACTTGATAGCAGTACTTCGACAGTATCAGATTCAACGAATTTTACCCTTGGTTATTTGTTCTTTTTTCTTTTAATTCATCAAAACAATGGTGATTGGTTTGAATCACAATGTTAATTGAGAGTGAGTCAGAATTTCTGGAATCATGAAAAATCTAGGTGTCTGCAAGGAAATAAAAGGTTACCGATAATACTAAGTTCAGTTGAAAGTTGTGTGAAAGGGAAACGATTCGTGGCTTCTGATCTTTCGAGAGTAGCGCCTTTAATTACAGGGGGAAAATAATCACTGTTCTATAAGAAACGCATGAAAGCGCAGTTTTAAAAGGGACGTTAAAAGAATGTGGCGTTTCAAGCACTCTTGCGTGCGCGCAGAGATGTCCAAAATCTTTTACAAAGTAAATTTCACTTCGATCAATCGGAGTAGTAACTCCCAAAAGTTCAATGTAAAATTGTAATGTGGTTTTGTTTTTGTATAAACTGTTATAAATCGAAAAGCAAATCGATCACGTATCTCCTGGACAGTTAAATTTTGATTTCGTAAAAATAATAAGCCGATGAAATAAATTGTGAACAATTAAAATAGAGACAAGTTGCAGCCATATCAAGAATGAACGAATTTGATATGATTTATAATGTAATTCAGAGAGAAAGAAACAGAGAAGAAATACATCGAATGCAAGGTGTATTTAAAAAAATGTCCAAGATCATGGGGAATAGTTGTATGAGGAAAATCAAAAGATTGCCGTCGGTTCAAACCGGATGGTTCTCCGATAGGAACGACGGACGTATACATATATACATAATACTGCTGTAAATACCGAACACGTGATATGTGGAGACAAAATCGATTAGAGAAGTCCGTGTAAATCGTTAGTGTACTACTAAAATGTTTCGTAAGTTAAGTGGAACATTTTCACGTTTGAAATACAGATGTCGCGCGCTTGCACAACGCTGTTTTTAAAAAAGTGGAACGGGGGGGGGGGGCGACGAAACAGCCCGGCAGCTAATCCTTGATTGCGAATTCTGTGAAATTGTCCAAAACAAAGTATTGCTTGTACGATTTTAAGTTTTCTGTACATATTGTATAATCCATGTATAAACACGACTATGCTAGTTGCGAAATCCATCATTGTAGTTAAATTACATTACGGATCATTATATCTATATCACTTCAATAATAAACAATTATTATGAGAATCAATTATGTTTGCTGGTTCCATGTTTAGTTCAAGCCTTGGGTATATTGATACTACTAATACTAACTATACACTATGTTGACATTAATATAATGCTATCGACAATTGAAAAGCTTCAGGAATTTCAAACTTTCTAAATTCTGTTCACCTAACTAAAGTATTTGGGATTCCAGGAAGCTCGTGTAGTTTCCATAGTTAACACATCGACTGCCACAGTGACAAAGGCTGTACGTAGCCAGACACACTTTATTTTGTTTTTAGTCATAAAGCATTGAAAATGTATGCGTTTCGTTAATAGAGGCTGTTGGTCATGTGTTAAATTATACTGCAATATTAAATATTGCGCAAAAATTTTGTAACTCTGGGAAGGGAGGAGGGAGGGGGGACAAAAAATTGTTTTTCTTGTAGGGTGGGGCAAATGCCACTTTTTTCCGTCCAGGAGGGTTGGGGGGGGGGGAGTGCCCCACCTGTCCATGGGTTTACTTAGGGAAGAAAATAACCAAGTACATGTATGTGTGCAGTTTACATTTTCTCAAAAATGATTTAATTTTATCAGGCGTTTCCTATTTTGTAGGTTTCATTATTAACATACAATATTATTCCAGCCATATTTATTTAAATGCTAAACTGTTTTGCTTTAAATATGTATATTTTATTACCTATTTAAGTTTGCATGTCATATTACAAATCCTGAAGACTAGAGACCCATTCCCTGTAAAATAACAAAGATTATTTGATTAATTAATTATCAGAAAGTACACCAAAATCAACAGTCCACCCAGTTTTTG